AAAAAAAAAAACGGCGAGACAAGATTGTGTGTTGACTATAGGCAATTAAATAAAAAAATAATTAAAGATCGTTATCCTTTGCCATTAATTGACGATCAGTTGGATGCGCTTCGCGGAGCTATTGTGTTTAGTACACTTGACTTAAGAAATGGATTTTTTCATGTTCCAATAGAAAAAGAAAGCCGCAAGTGTATTTCGTTTGTAGTTCCCGACGGCCAATACGAATTTTGTTACGCGCCTTTTGGCTTATGTAATTCGCCGGCGGTATTCCAGAAATTTATAAATGAAATATTTAAAGAACTGATTAGAGACCGTGTAATTTTAACTTATCTNGACGATCTGATTATCCCATCTGTGAATTTTGAGACTGCGCTTTTGAATCTGGAAAAAACGTTGCGACTTGCCGAGCGATTCGGATTAGATATTAATTGGAAGAAGTGCACATTTTTGCAGACGAGAATTGAATTTTTCGGTCATGTCATTGAAAACGGTACGGTGCGCCCTTCTGAGAATAAAATCGAAGCCGTTATGAAATTTCAAATACCGACAAATGTAAAACAATTGCAAAGTTTTCTTGGGCTATCGAGCTACTTTCGTAAATTTATTAGAAATTACGCGCTAATTGCTAAACCTCTAAGCGATTTGTTGAGAGCCGATGCGAAGTTTATATTCGGCTCTAGAGAAAGAGAAGCTTTTGATTTTTTGAAACGTGCGTTGAGCGTTAANCCGGTGTTGCGATTGTACGAGCAGAAAGCTGAGACCGAGTTGCATACCGACGCTTCGGCGCAGGGCTATGGTGCTATATTATTGCAAAAGTGCGACGGCGATAATATGTTTCACCCGGTGTATTATGCGAGCGGCAAAACAACCGACGCGGAAGCTAAATATACNAGTTACGAGCTTGAGACGTTGGCAATAATAAAAGCGCTTCGTAAATTTCGAGTCTATCTGTTGGGGATCAACTTTAGTATCGTTACGGATTGCCAGGCGTTTTCGTTAACGATGAGAAAGAAAGATCTTTGCGTTCGCGTTGCTAGATGGGCCTTGTTACTCGAAGAGTTTGCTTATGTCATCGTNCATCGTCCGGGCAAGAATATGGCACATGTTGATGCTTTGAGTCGTTATCCGCTCCCTTGTGCTTTGTCGATCGATGAGTCGGATGATAGCATGACTGCTAGAATTCGAAAGGCTCAGAAAGACGATGTCAAGTTACGAGATATTTATATGTTAGCGGATAAGAATCGGTGTGATGGTTATGTTGTGAGAGGTGGATTATTATTTAGAGANAACAACGGTGACTTACAACTGGTCGTGCCGAAATGTTTACAATCTCAGGTGATACGACGCATACATGAAAACNGTCATTTTGCGATCGATAAGACCGAAGCATTGTTAAAAAGAGATTATTGGTTCCCTAATATGCGTAATGCGATAGAAAAAGTCATTNGTAATTGCATTAGCTGCATTTTGGGCAACAGAAANTCGGGCAAATTAGACGNTTATTTGAATCCGATTCCTAAAGGTAATGTGCCTCTCGATACATATCATATTGATCACATGGNACCGCTACCATCGACTAAAAAGAGATATCGCTATATTTTTGTTGTAATAGACGGATTTACTAAGTTTGTATGGCTGTTTGTGACGCGTTCGACTGCCACCGCGGAAGTATTAGACAAATTACNTAAATTAGCNGCTGTCTTCGGAAATCCTAGGAGGATAATTTCCGATAGAGNAACTGCCTTTACGTCTAGTNAGTTCCGTAATTATTGTAAGAGNNAAAACATTGAGCACGTGCTAATTGCGACGGGTGTATCTAAATCGAATGGTCAGGCGGAGCGAGTAAATCGCACACTGATACCGGTACTGACAAAATTAGCGGCGCCTCGACCGGACGAATGGTATAAATATTTGAATGTAGCGCAACAGTATTTGAATGTAATTCCGAGTCGTAGCACGGGTACTTCACCGTTTCGAGTATTATTCGGCACTCACATGAGATTGCGAGATAATTGTGAGGTAAAAGACATGATAGAGAGCGAATGGGAAACAATGTTCGAAGAAGATCGGGATGAATTGAGAGAAGAAGCGCGAAAAAACATAATTAAAGTACAAGAAGAAAATAAAAAAATATATAATAAGCGTCGAAAAGAAGCGAGACAATATCATGAAAATGATTTAGTTGCAATAAAAAGAACACAGTTAGGGCCCGGATTAAAATGCGCTTCAAAATTCTTAGGTCCTTANCAAATTATTAAAACGCTGCGTAACGATCGTTATATTGTAAGAAAAGTAGGTGACCACGAAGGGCCACTCGAAACGTCTTCTTCGGCCGATCATCTGAAGCCCTNGATAGAAATAGCAAATAGCGAATCCGAAATTTCAGATAATGAGGACGAAATCTGAGGACAGATTGATTTATTCAGAATGGCCGAGTGTAAGATTGGAAATTGTATTTCCGATAATATTTAATATTTTCCATTTCAAGCTAAGACTACCGATAACTCGTTACANGCTATCGACAAAATTGTATACATGTGTGACTTTCCTAGCGAACAAGTTGTGACAAATATTTTCCTTTTTCGTATTTAACGGACCTGTTGTCTATTGACAAGTCAAAGCCGAACCGAGGAAACAGAGGTGATGAAAAGGCGTTGAATGCTGACGAGAAGGAGAAGGTTCGCATCTGCTAAGAAGAGAAGACGCCTGAAAGATCGCGTGCTGTATCCGACTAATTATTATATCCATACTATTATTTTTTTAAATATACTCGTTTGTTTTTCTACATTAATACGGAGTTCAATTAAATAAATCGTTTAATAAAACAATTCCTACAAGAGTTTTTTCATAAATGTAATGCCATCTATTTTTTAAACCACCAATCGTTAGATCAACTGGAACGTTGGTAAACAGGGAGACAACATCTAAAGAAAGAAGAACATCATTTTCATTGATTTGTGTGCCTGAGAGTCATTTGTTGTCAAAGATTGAAGCTGTTTCCAATGTTATTTTCCGCGACAGGAATGCTGTTAACGATAATCTTATGCAGAAAAACGGTCAAAGAATAAAGAGGGCTGTTTATCAAAAAGACTATAATTCTGAGAGGAACATTCTCCTTATGGATCTTGGGAAGACCGTAAGCCTTAGGTAACAGTTTATCGTTTGATCTGAGTAAATAATATTTACGTTTATCTATGTATCTCCTGCTGAGCCAACGTTTCAAGACTGCGTTGAGGTCAGATTCAATATTTTCTTAACTGGAACTACAAACGACAATCTCATAAGTACATGTATCATTAAGGGCATCACTTATTTTTTTGTTATAATTCATAGCAACTGTGGCGTTGTCCTTGTCTGCACGCATAAGAACAATTTCCGAATGTTCCCGAATAAAGGTTGTACATGACCTATACATTTCGTGCATCTTTTTATCAATCTGAGAAAAAGAAGCTTTTTTATTCAAAAACTGTTGTAGTCTAGGAATTGCATTATTTCTAACTTTGGCTTTCAATTCTGTGTTTTGTTTCATACTATTGAGCTCAATATCTTTAATAAATTCAAGAACTACCTTATTCTTATTTGAGCTCATCGGTAGGCAATGTTTTTCACCTAATTTTAATAAATTTGATACTTGATCAGGAAAGGTTGTCAGAAAGATTAATGAACCATTTGTTATTGGTGGAAGATAAAGGATCTTTTATCATTTTTATTATTATAATGTTTATTATTATAATGTTTTATTATTCATTTTTATTGCGACTGAAGAAGACTCCATTGTGAGATTGAAACGTTTTATATTAATGTAATTCGTTAATATTTTGTAATATACTATCATAATATACCATCTGTTTTCTTGCTCGTTTGCGACTTTATTTACCTTTCTTATTGTTTATATTCACGAGCGGTTTTTATCTTCCTATAATGTTTATTATGTTTTCTAACAAAATATTAATAATAAGTGCAATATTTATTAAATGTAATAAAAACATAACGAGAATGTTTGTATAACTTTATGTTACGAGTAAACTATGACTCATTCAATTCCATAGTTCGCAATTTGTGCCATCTCCTTGTTAAATAATTCGTTTTTATGTATATTGTCGAAGGTATTGTAGATATTGTAGGTTTTTGGTATTGACTTTCTTTGTTTTGCCGACATACATAACGATTACTGTTATTGACTAATCCAGAATAGGTGCGTAAAGGCCATCACACATAAAATTACTTAAATCCATAAGGCGTAGCCGTAAGAAAATTGACCAATCAGAATGTATACTATGTCGCCATCACTTTTGGACATAAATTTCTGATTGGTCAATTTCCTTACGGTTACGTCTTACGGTCTTAAGTAATTTTATGTGTAAAGGCCATAAGTTTATCTTAACTTTCATTGTAACAAATAGCAATATAAAATTTCAATATAAAATTTCTATTATTATGATATTGGTATTCATTATAACTGATATTCAAATCCAAAAGGTAATATTGTATTTTAGATTTTTTTTGCTGATAAAGATCAAAATAAATCATCAAGACGTTTATTCATCACATACATGAATTATTCAAATTAAAAAAAAAAAATCCACTCACTGAATTACCGGTTCTTTAGTCTGACAAATATTTTAAAGATTTGGATGTCTAGATTTTGAAAATTCATAACGCAAGTTATATGCGACAGTTTTTTTTCCAAAATGCGGATAATAAAGTGAGAACATGCAAAATTGAAAAATAACAGTTAAGATTGTAACATAGCGAGATTCAATTTCGCAAAACTGAATAGGATAAAAAGCAACTATCGAAAATTGCCGGCTGTTATCTCTAATTGGCTCGACCACCGCCGTAGTCATCTCCATCAATTCGCGCGAAAACTTGGCAAAACACTTCTAGGAATTGGTAGAGCTGACTCCCGGTAAGATACCGAGGGAAAAATTCGGCACGTTAGTGAGGCATTACTGTAAAGTCATTTGAAAAAAAAAAAAAAAAAAAAAAACAGTTTTCTACTTCATAATAACTCGTAAGCGAAAATTGTCGTACCAAGATGCATAAAAAAGCATATTGAAGAGGAACTTCTATATCTTCGTATCTCTCTTCTCAAGTTGAGCTGAAAAGTTTTGTTTATGCCGTGCACCGTCGCAAACTCGGACCAATTTTTTCTAATTATATATGTTCTCGTTTTGTCATCTGCTATTTTTAATAAATTTATTTCACAAAAGTGACAGTCCGTTTGACAAATCGGTTCTTAAAGTAAAAATTCCAAACTTTATTTTTTTGTAAGAAGATATTATTGTTATTATAAACGAAGTTATCGTCATTTAAAATTTGGAATTTTTCCAAATTTTTAATGTACTACTTTTTTTTAAAAGTAAATTTATATACAATGTGTAAAATTGCTACATTTCCTCAAATTAAGTTCATAAAAGTTTCTCACAAAATAAACATAAATACATAAATACTATAGTTCAGTTTTTGTCTCACCTAAATCGGCGTATCTTGTTTTACAAAAGGCTCTACGTCCTCCAAAACTTAAATCATATCTAGGTAGTAATGGATTATCATTACCATGCTCTACGGCTTTATAAGCATCTTCTTTTCTCTCAAAAGTGACAAAACCATAATTATCACTGAAATAAATCACATATTATAAAACATATTATATTATCAAGAACGTTATTTTAAAGACAGTGAATAATATATGTAGAGAAGATAATAAGACAAATTATACAATCGCGAAAGGAATGATTTTTTATTATAAAAAATAGGTTGAAAAGAAATAAAAAAATGTAAACTAAACACGTTTCATGAAAGAAAGGTTTACTTTCCAAAAAATCGATTTTGAAAACGGAAAAATTGAAATCACATTAATCATTTAAATTATACTAATTAATTATTTTTGGTTACGCTTAATTTACTGCACACAAAAATTTTATTTTGATAATTTTTACTGATTTGACTTATTTTTGCACAAAGAATCAGTCTAGTTCTGTTTGTATCATTTGTCCTGTTGCATTCTGTGCGTGTGCACTGTAAAAAATAAATAAATAATATACGTACGTATTTTCTCTAAAGTGTATGCTAACGTCCATAACAGTACCAAAAACTTCAAATCTTCTACGTAAACTAGTTTTGGTGACTTCCTCTCCAAGACGTCCTACATATATCACTCTCCGTTCTTCTACTTCCTTTTGTTTCTCTCTATTGTTCCAAGTATAGGTTCTGCGATACGGAGACCTACTAAAACAATTATTATTTTAAAGTAGAAAGGATTCTCATTTTCATTCACTCATTATTTTAAGGTTGTATTCAGTAAGATCTCAGTCAAAAGTTTAAGAAACATAGCGTAAACTGAAGCTACTTTAATGTTTAGATAATAATTGTTTGCTGGAAAAGTATTATTTGTATTAAAATAAGTTAAAAAAACTATTTATTATACTTTTAATGACTACGAAAAAGTTTTTACGTATATTTTGTGCCATTTTAATGTTCACTTTTGATACTTTTGAGTAGGATTATACTCTACTTGCATAAGATAAATGAAAAACTGGAAATGTATTAATCATAAAAGTTCGTTAAAACGTAACAATTGATGTATAAAATTACAAATATAATTGTTTTATGTATATTAAATATATATTTTTATTAATTTTAGCAAAATATAAATTTATATTTTATGTGATATTCTCGAAATGACTATTTTTTCGAGTGGAATTTGTTTTTAAGATATTTATTAACAACTGCAAAAACTTTCACAATTACGGCATATCTACATCTACGGTTATTTTTTAATTTATATCAGAATATCGTGAAATCCCATAAGAACTCGTGTTAAATTAAAATCGTACTAACTTTTTAACAAGACTCGCAAAGAAGCTGAAATTTTGCACAATGTTCTTTTTTATATTATCTACTGACTGGCAAAATTTGCATAATCTGGCATATCTTTTATCTTACTCTGAATACAACCTTAAAGGGTAAGCTGTATATAATATCTTGGTAATTATATACAAAGTGGTCCTTCTCACCAATTTCAATGATCTTGAAATCAGGGACTTAATACCGGTATGATTTCAATACCGGTATTATACTAGAGATTGTATACCGAAACCGATATAGTACCGAAATTGAGTCTTACCGTTACCGTTATAGTACCGAAACCGATA